GGGATTTCTTAAAAAATTCAAAATTTTTTCAAAAAGAAACCCATTAACCGATCATCGCAAAAATCAATAGCACCCTTTCTTTAGTGATTCTCGACGTTTTAATAAAAAAATTAGCCCAAAATCTCAAAATTTACGGAAGTTAGATCGGTCACAGACATTTCTCAAAAAATTCAAAATTTTTTAAAAAGAAACACGTTTACCGATCATCGCAAAAATCAATACCAACCTTCCTTTAGTGATTCTCGACGTTTTAAAAAAAAAAAATAGCCCGATATCTCAAAATTTACGGAAGTTAGAGCAGTCACAGACATTTGAATGCGTACAGACACGCGCACACACACACACACACGCACACGCACACGCACACGCACACGCACACGCACACGCACACGCACACGCACACGCACACGCACACGCACACGCACACGCACACGCACACGCACACGCACACGCACACGCACCCACACACGCACACACACACACACACACATGCACACACACATTTTGTGAAAATATTATTTTTAGACATTTTAAAACATTTTAAACATATTCCCAAAGAAAACTGGAAAAAAAATTTTTTCACGAAAATAAAGCTTCCTCTATGAGGAAGCAAAATATTGAAAATGCATAAATATATATGTAGTTTTATAAATATATGTCATTTTTAAGAAATAAAATATTTTTATATTACATATTTATTGCAACGTTTATTTTTCCTGTAATATAAACGTGACATCGTTTTATTACCACGGTTATACCTTATTTATATATAAGTTATATAAATGTTTTATGAATAGCATGGTATTCCATCGTTGCTATATTATATCCCAGCAAACACAAAAGTAAGAGTTACATAACTGTAAGTTAAAATTTCCTACTCAACAATATAACTGTTATATAACACGTGTGTTATGTAACAGTTACATTGTTGAGTAGGAAATTTTAACTTACAGTTATGTAACTGTTTGTGTTTGCTGGGATGTAACATATATATAGCAACTATGCCTTATTATAATGTATTTGTAACATTAACATACTATCTTAGTTACTTTTGAAAAAGGGCGAAATTTAAATGCAACTACAACATTGCAGCAACTTTCACGTTATATTACATGTGATGTTGAAATTTATAGCTGTTATATAGTGAACACACAACTGTGTCGACTGGGAGTATTCGAAATATATGATAAATCACGTAATGTGTGCACTTTATAGTTTTTGCTAACACAACACAGCTGTTTCATTTTAAAGATTAAACACTCCACGTAAAATTAAATTCTCAGTAATAAACATTTTTATGGCAAAAATGTATTTGCTGAAACGATAAATGAGAAAAATCACAGTATGTAAACACAACACAGGTTAGGGTTAGATTAGGTTCATGCGAAAATGCAATGCGTTAAGCCCGTATCGGACTAAGGACTGAGGCCGGCATTCACAGTCAGATCTTTTATTCAAGACCGTCTTAAATTTATCTAAACATGCTATATCGAACATTTCATCAGAAGCGTTCTGCGTTCTTAAATCTTTTCTGTTACGCGAAATTAAATATCCTAAACTCTTCTGATTGGTTACGCGATACGCATTAGTGCCCATCTTCAATAGTGATTGAAGCCCTAAGCCTTAAAGAATTGACCAATCACTTTTAAGTATGAGGAAAATACTCGACTATGATTGGCCAATTTCTTAAGGCTGCGGTCCCATGGGCTTAGTTTACACCGACAGACCTAAAAGCGGCCTGACCTAAACCGTGACCCAAAGTAGGTCTAGTTACCAAGTGTTTACACTGAGGAGACCTAAAAAGTGACAAAGACTTGAGTAGGTCGTATTTAGTCCACACTGATCCGAATTAAGAGCCATCTATCGTGTTTTGTACATTCGGCGAAAATGTTTTGAGGTTAACAGTATACCATATTTACGTTTTGCAGCTGTATACATATTGTAACGTACAAAATGACATCGCTGGAACAATACATTCTGTTTTTTCAAAATTGTGTTATGATGCAAAAGAAGAGGAGAAATATGATTTCTGTTCAAATTATGCGTCGAAGAAGACACATGTGGGATAGAATTCGACAATTGCACAGGATGCAAAGAATGTTTATAGAGTATGTGCGAATGGTTCCTATGGTTAATATTTTAGAAATGTATTTCAATGCAATACATGTTGAAAGAAGCACATGGATGAAGGCAAGAAGCACTCACTTTTGGAAGGAGATGGTGCTATGTACATATACTGAAGCAGAATGGATAGAAAGTTTCCGCATGCGTAAAGAGACTTTCAATGATTTGTGCCGTTTTCCTACGACCTGCTTTGGAGCCTAAGCCTTTATTCTTAAAATCAAGAGAACCGTTATCATGTGAAAAACAAGTTGCTGTCGCTCTATATAAAATGGCAAGTTGTGCAGAATACCGTGTTGTGGGCAATGTATTCGGAATCCACAAATCTACAGTAAAAAAATGTCTGTACAGAGTTGTAAATGCGATTAATGATGTGATGATGAAAGATTATCTTCACATGCCAGATGCCTACGAAGCTTCAGTAATAGCAATGCATGTTGAGAAAATATCGCACATTGCGCAAATTATTGGATGCATCGACGGTTCGCACATACCTATATTGGCTCCATCAGAAGGCTATCGAGATTTTGTGAACCGTAAGGGTTGGCCTTCATATGTGTTACAGGCAGTTGTTGACGATATATTTACATTTAGTGTACGAATGGCAATAAATTAATCGATAATCATTAATAAACGTATTGTATATAGATTTAGAAATATTTGTATTCGACATCCTGGAAGTACTCATGATGCCGCTGTATTCAAGGATTCAAGTTTATACAGAGATGCTCTCAATGTTATTCCACAGGTACGAATACAAACTTAAGAAATGGTATATAGTAAATATGTGTATACTATGCAATACTGTAATATTGTATAACTGTCATTACAGGATACACGAAATATCAATGGTGTGGCAGTACCATATTTAATTGTCGGTGACCCAGCGTATCCACTGTTACCGTGGCTACTAAAAGGCTATCCCGGTAGTGTAACAGCTGAACAAGAATCCTTTAACGTACATCTCAATTCTGCAAGAGTTACCGTAGAAATGGCATTTGGCCGTTTAAAAGCACGTTGGAGAATACTCCTAAAACGAATTGATGTGAATTATGTATTCGTTCCACATATTACAAGTGCTTGTTGCATTTTACAAAACTTTCTAGAGTGTAAGAAGGAACAGTTTCTTCAACAATGGCTAAATGATGTAGTTGAGGCAGAAGTACTTTATCCACAGCCCGTAGATGGTACTAACCGAGAGCGTGATAATATCTCTGGGTCAACTATTCGACAACATTTAACAGAGTACTTAAGTAATAATTTTTCGTTGCGTGCAAGTGTTTTAAGATAAGATACGATATTTAAGATATTGTGTTCAGTATGCATATTGGTATTGCATTTTATTTTGTTTATAAATTTTCGTATACAACTATAAAACGTATATAAATTTTCGTAGAATACTATAAAACGTATATAACTATACATGTATAATATCCTTTATCGCTTATAAAATATATTGCAATATAAAATATAATAAACAAAAATAAATGAGAACGTTTCATCACATTTACATCACATTTACGTTACGTTACTTATGTACTTCTCTCATTATCATCGTTACAAGATGAACTTGATGTTAACACTGTTACCGAAGACTGTAGTATAGTCGGTGATGGCAACGGAGAAGGAACTGCAGGAAATGGTGAGGATGGTGGTGGTGAGCATGATGAGGAAGGAGATGGCGATAAGTGGTACGAATATACATTTGGAGTAGAGGCAGTTGACGGGAACGTATGCATAGGGATTTGAGTTGGTATATACTGAGGATATTGGATGTTGCCTGTTTGCACCGTTTTTAACCCTGTCATTTTATCCAAGAGTAACATTTAATGCTGCTGTTCTTTCTCCATCATTTCCTTTTCCCATCGTCGTTGTTCCTCCATGTGGGCATATATCGATTTATCAAACATTTGCACTTGTTCCTGCATAACTTTCTGCATTTCCTCGGCCTGTCTTTTTGCAAAAACTTCTGCGAAATTCTCCGCTAGCTTGAAGTGTGTGGTGCGTCCTAAAAATACACGAATAAACAATTATTTTATGTGTATTCTTTTAGAAACTGCAATTCTTATAATCTATACAGGGTGGTCCAGTGATGAGTAGCTTAACTTCAGGGGCGTATTCCTTGGACAATTCTAAGACGAAACATCCATTTGAGTTTTTGTCGAAAATCGCTTCCCTGAGAAATGGCAGCCGTTTGAAAAAATTTTGTTTGGGTTTCGAGCGGGAGTCATTTAAATTAGCGTAACTTTGGAAATACTCGTCGGATTATTTTTGATTAGGGCTTGTTGAAAAGGTATTGCCGAGACCTTTCAGAAAATGTATCACAC